TATCTACTTATATATATATATATATATATAATAGTACCATATAATATATTTTGTGCCACTCTTTAATAATATTTTGCTCTCTCTTAGGGCTTGCTTGGCCATGCAGCTCTCCCTTTCAAAGCGATGGGAGAACATCGGGAGCTCATTTAACCGATAAATTTCAAAAGAAGGAACATCTATCGAAATCGTGAAATCCGTCATTTTCAGATCACAAGGAGGTCCCTCAGTTCCGATGTTCTGGATCACATTCCTTCAGTTCGATGCTCCGACTAAAAGTGTTTTTTGAGGTGTATATTTCAAACGAAATTTTTTTCAACGACAACTCAAGGTCAAGCAAAGGGCTTATCATCATGGTGCCACATGTCAACATCCAAAGAGTCAACTTTATAATCGATCTTACTTTTTTTCTCTTTAGTTTATAATCATTCTAATATTCAACTTTCTTAAGAAAATCCACTTTTACTAGTGCTCCTCCCTCATAAAACATGACTATCCTCTCTTCCCTCAAATCATCAAGAAATTATTCTGTACGGATATCGCATAAAGAGAGATGCATTCGGTATCCGATCTCCACTGTCGATCACCGCAATCAAAATTTTAAAAAAAAAAGTTGAAAGTGAGGTCCACCCAAATATATCTTTGCAGTGATCGAAAGTGTAGATTGAACACTGCATGCATCTCTGCATACATCGTCTATATGAAATAATTTTTCTAAATTACCCCCTTCATTTTCCTGCAACCACCAATAACAGAAATAAGAAAAAAATATGTTTTCAAATCCATACTTCGCCAGGTGCTTCGATGGCCCAAAGACAGAAGAACAAAAAGAGCACGAACTCCGCCTCAGTAATCAACTCAACGAAGAAGTATCAACCCTACCTCTGCAGCAAGGACTGCGACATTGCCCTCTCCGCCTCTACAAAAATTTCTGGTTCCCCGAAGTCTTCAACCAAGGGATTCTCTCTCTCCGCCTCCACCTCCACCTCCATCCCAATCCTTCAGACATCTTCCTGGTCAGCTTTCCTAAATACCTCTGGAGGGAATCAGGGTTGCGGGTGGGAAAAAATATTACCTCCTTTCACGTCACCCCCAAAACTGCTCTCCTATTTTGGAGGGCCTCTTCGCCGGCCCCCACGTTCCTGATCTAGACGCATTACCCTCCCCACGACAGTTTTCCACCCACATTCCTTACTCCGTTCTGCCGGAATCCGTCCGAAGTTCTCCCTGTCGAATCATATACCTCTGTAGGGAGCCTAAAGATACGATCGTGTCCACTTACCACTTCTTCCATGGAATGAGCAGCCCCGAGGCTGCTCTGCAACCTTTCCCGTTCATGGAGGCGATTGAGCTGCTCTTTAAGAGGGTGTCTGGTTTCGGGCCACTGTGGGAGCACCAGCAGGAGAACTCGAGGGAGAGCCAGAGAAGACCCAACAAGGTTCTATTTCTAAAGTAGGAGGATCTGAAGGCGGATCCCGAGGACGGTGTGCGAAGGATGGCGGAGTTCATGGGGATGAGCTTCACGGCGGAGGAGGAGATGAGCGGCATGGTAGGGGAGATTGTCAGACAAACCAGCTTTGAGAGGCTTAGCGGATTGGAGGTTAATAAGGTCGGGTTGTGTTTTCAAAACCAAACTTTAAACGCCAACAAAAATGGAGGAATTTTTTTAGTAGTTCATACACCCTCTACATTTTTTGGTTTAACTTATAAGCAAATACATCACATTTTTCTGAAAATAAAACTAACTAACCACTTAACGGTTTTCCTAACTACCTAACCACAAAACGGTTTTCAAAACTTCCTAATCCACATGAAAAATGTGCAAAAATACATAAACAATTTCTAGAGACAACTAGATTAACACAACAATCTCCTCCTTAAGCTTGTTGTCCTTCACTGACGATTCGCACACCAATTTTTTCTCTCATCTCCAAGAACTTCAATCTTGCAAGTGACTTTGTCAGAATATCAGCACGTTGATCTTCTGTGCAAACATGTTGAATTTCAATCATTCTAGATTCAACACAATCTCTAATGTAGTGAAATCGGGTATCGATATGTTTGCTCCTCTCATGGTAAACTGAATTCTTGCTTAATGCAATTGCGGACTGATTATCAATCTTCAGAACTACTTTCTTAACTTCAGTTTTTAAAAATTCTGCCAATAGTCGTCCCAACCACACTCCTTGACACGCTGCTGCACATGCAGCGATGTACTCTGCTTCACAGGAAGATAACGCAACCACTTTCTGTTTTTGTGAACACCAACTAATAGGACTTGACCCAAGGAAAAATATTAAACCTGAGGTACTTTTCCTATCATTAGTATCACCAGCTAGATCACTATCCGAATAACCGGTCAGTTCCAAGCTTCCTTTCTTCTTCTCATAAACACAACCAAGGTTTAAAGTTCCTTTCACGTACCGTCGTTGTGGGCCTTTCCATGTATCTACTCACCATGCCAACAGAGAATGTCAAATCTGGGCGCGTGTGCAGTAGATATCTTAAACTGCCAACAATACTTCGGTACAAAATTGTTTCTACAGGTGGACTTGTGTTTTCCTTACTCAGTTTTAGACGAGGTTCCATCGGAACTTGTGAAGGGTTACAATCTTTCAGGCCACATTTGTCTAAAATCTTTCTTGCATATGTCGACTGATTAAGTGTAATCCTTTGAGAATTTTGAAATACTTCAATTCCCAAATAGTAGCTTAGTAACCCAAGGTCACTCATGCTAAACAATTTCTTCATCTGTGATTTGAACTTGTCTATGTCTTGAATACACTCTCCAGTGATGATTAAATCATCCACGTAGACTCCAACAATTAAAATCCTTTACCTTGATTTCTCATGTACACTGCATGCTCTAAAGAACACCTCTCAAAACCGAGTGTCTTCAATGATTTGTCCAGTTTTGAGTTCCAGGCTCTAGGTGCTTGACGCAAACCGTACAATGCTTTGTGCAGTTTTAACACCTTGTGCTCTTCTCCCTTTATTTCAAATCCCGACGGTTGAGTGACATACACTTCCTCTTCCAAATCACCGTTGAGGAAGGCTGACTTCACATCCATATGATGAACCTCCCATCCTTCATGTGCCGCAATAGAGAGTAGCAAACGTACTGTCTCTAGCCGAGCAACAGGGGCAAAAATTTCATCAAAGTCTATGCTTTGTTGTTGAACGTACCCCTTTTCCACTAATCTCGCCTTGTGCTTCACAATTCTGCCTTGAGAGTCCTTCTTTAGCTTGTAAACCCATTTTAGACCTATAGGTTTGTGGCCTTCGGGTAATGAAACGAGCTTCCAGGTTTCATT